TAGCTCACAGTTTCTGTGGGTCAGGAATCTGCAGCCAGTGTAGCTGGATGGTTCTGACTCAGATCTCTCCTGAGACTTCAGTCAAGGCACACACACACCGGGGGACAGTCATCCAAGGCATGTGCAAGTTAGAAAGAGCCTTTTTGTGGCACATTCGTGTGGCTCTTGGTCGGAGGCTTCAGTTACACACCACGTGAACATTTTCGTAGCCCTGGCAGCTGGAAAAGAGTGTGTGACCTACAAGACAAAGAGAGGGACGGAGAGGGGAGGTGCCCAGATGGATGCCACAGTTGTTTTATAACCTCTTGGAAGCAACGTCACCTAAGTTCTACAAATTGTGTGTTTCCAGTGAGTCCCTGAGTCTGGCCCCTACTCAGAGAGAAGGAAGGGACTCTGGAGGGCTCAGAGAGCAAGAGGAAAAGATCCCTGGGGCCATCTCAGGGACTGTCTACTAGGATGATTTCTTTTGTATACTAACAGCCACGTTCTGTGGTCTATGTGAAGGTAATCGGCTGGGAAAAACATGTTCTGGGGACCCCAGGAGTAAAAGTTTCTAGGCCACATGTGGCCACTGGATTTTTCCCCCGGGAAGCTTGCCCCTGGGGCACTTAAGGAAGAAGGGAACCTGATCACAGGTGTCATGTGCCCAGGGTTGGCCACACTGAGGGGTAGAATGCTGGTCACTGCCAGGGCACGGCATGAGAAGAGCCAGATGCTCCTCTAGAAGATGCCCCATGGTCCTTGGGGTATATGAGATACACCATCCAGGGAGCATACGACACCTGCATTAGTCAACATTCACTGCTGGGACCCAAATACCTGGTGACCGCAGCCTGGAGGAGGGGAGGTTTGTACTGGCTCATGGTTTCAGAGCATTTAGTCCAGGCTCGGTTGACTCCAAGGCAGAAACATCATGGCGGACGGAAGCAGTCAGCTTATGGCAGCTGTGGGGGAGAGAGAGGGGTGTGCGAGCAGGGAGAAGAGGAGACAGAAGAGAGAACAGAAGAGAAGAGAAGACAAGGGAAGGAAACAGAAGAGAAGAGAAATCCTTCCAGGGCACGCCCCCAGAGACCGGTTTCCTCCAACTAGGTCCTCCACCCCCGAAGTCCATTCAGCCATCAATGGATTAATCCACTGATTTGGTCAGAGCTCACGATCCAAGTGTTTCCCCAAAAGCCCTCCCTCTGAACACATGAGACTTTGGGGGACATTCTAGATCCAAACCACAACAAATTTCAGTAGGGCAAAAATCAGTTCATGGGGACAAAAAATTCTTATTCTTTTTATTTATAAAGCAGAGATATACATCCAGTACATCAACAGATATATATAGTACATTTGCGGTATTAAAATTTCACTGGATCCAGGTGCAGTGGCACACGCCTGTAATCCCAGCAGCTCGGGAGGCTGAGGAAGGAGGATGGTAAGTTCAAGGCCAGACTCAGCAATTTAGCGAGGCCCTAAGCAACTTAACAAGACTCTGTCTCAAAATAAAAGAATACGAAGGGCTGGGGAAGTGGCTCAGAGGTTAAGCATCCCTGGATTCAATCCCTGGGGGGAAAAATCCCTCAATGGGGGTGAAGGTGAATAGGGAAAAATGACTTCAAATTTTCCTTGGGGGTAATAATGAAAAGAAGGTTGGATATTAAAAAGTTATAGGAATAAACTGTAAGTGGACTCCTGAGGCATGGTAGAGGGAAGGACTGGACCCCGATTCAGCGTGGGTGGAGAGAAGGAGACTGAAACGTGGAAGAGCATAAATAGACTTTTGCAGGCACATGTGGGGCTGTCCTTTCACTCCTTGGTCTGATCTGACCTCATTTCTACCTGCAGGGATTCCTCCCCATGGACGGCCCCTGGGGAGTCCTCTCTGGTCTTGTAGCACAGTTGGGTACACATTTCTGGAAGAGTCACAGCTGGAAGAGGAGGTGGCAGCTTGTGTTCAATCTACCATCTTGAAATGGAGACTATTCATTGAAAAGTCAAGAAAAATGTCTCCATCTTCCTTCTGGTTCCCCCTTCCTCCCATACTTTCATCATTTTCCTTTTTTGGGGGGGCATAGTGGGGATGAAAGTCCAGGCATTTTACCACATCCTCAGCCCTATTTTGTATTTTTTTAATTTAGAGGCAGAGTCTACACTGAATTCCTTAGGGCCTCGCTGTTGCTGAGGCTGGCTTTGAACTGGCGATCCTCCTGCCTCAGCCTCCCGTGCTGCTGGGATGACAGTGCCTGGCCCACTCCTTCTTTTGCACCAAGGTAGAGTCTGTGGAGTTGAAGTGAGGCAGAGGAAAGGACAGGAAAACCTGCAGGGGTGAAATAAGATGAGAGTCAAGACAAGAGCACTTGAGCTGTCAGCCAGTGTGTGATTTTCTGGGTCTGCTGCACACTGCGTATCTAGATTTGTTTTCTCATTTTTAAAATGTTAGTTTTATAAACATTAACACTTGGTTTCCGCCTCAATGATACGTGATCCCATGAAAAATCCTCTTTATCTTCATGATGATGTCTTCATGTTCAGCTGTTAGAGTCGTACATCTCTGGGTTTGTAGTGGGAAATGGGGGTCAGGACACAGAGATCTGGAAGCAACCCTCTATTAGTGGCGCCATGGCCCAGAGGGATAATTCCCAAAGTCTGAGCCCCGAGCACAGCAGGGGTTTTACATTTATACATAAGTGAGTTTGGGGCACATCAAGGCAAGGGGGTTGGTGCCATTCTATTGGAGGGTGCATTCGACATTCCTTATGTGGGTTCTAGCTCATCAATAGCCTGGGGACCCTGAGCTCATACTGCTTAGGGACTTCTGAAGTTAAAGCAAAGAAGGCGGAACATTCTAGAACTGCTGTGAGAGTTTATAGCTTAAATTTCTGCATCTTGTCCCACTCCCTGTGATATACATCAGCCTAGCTAGAACCAAATTAGAAAATTGATTTATAAAAAAATGGCAGCACTTTGGTCCTCCACAGCTCAGCCAATCCCCATTGGATATTTCTGTCTCTGTGATTTCCAATCTTTCTGGTAATGAATGTGGAGAGGCTGTGCTCTGGAATGACTGGAAATGCTGTTTGCCCTGTGGCTTAGGCACTGTGGATTGACAGAGCCTCCCCCTCCCACCTGCAGAACAGGAACTCCCCCTCCCCCTCCCACCTGCAGAACAGGAACTCCCCCTCCCCAGCCTCCTGGGGTAGCTGCATCTCACTTCTGCGCAGGCCCGACCCATCTTTGAGCAGAAGCACAGCTGAGAAGCAGGAGTCCCATGTCACCTTCCAAGCTGTTTCCTTATTTACATGTCACCGTGATCAGCAATTCCCAGGACAACACAGTCAGCCATCTTACCCAGGCCAATAAACAAAGAGAATAATAAATAAGTAAATAATCCTTCTCAGGGTCCCTTTCTCAAGGTCCTTCTCCCAGGACGACTTTCATCTGTCCAGAAGCAAACTTGAAGCACCAAGATAAGGATGTTGTTTGTCTCCGCCCGAGGTTCCTGGGCAGTATACATGTTTGATCTGCCAAAACTTTGAAAAGGAAGCAGACTGAACTGAGTTTCCCCAGAACTGTATTCCACGGCATGTCCGGTTCCTCGCAGGGCTTGTGGAAGTTCCACTGTCACTGGCCTCTGCAATCCGAGCGAGGAGACAGCTGCAAAAAGCATCTTCTAGCCAAAACGTGATTTGGGAAAGGTCATTTTATTACATGATTTATTTATACTGTTTCTTCACGGTACAAAGCGTTCTGATGTGTACTCAGAGTCCAGAGAAAGAGAAGAAAAATTTTAAGAAAACCTCCAGGCCTACAACTCAGAGGCACCAGAGAATCCATGGAGATATTTGGGGTAGATTCTGAAAGTGGGGTTAAGCTTTTTCAATTATAGCTTGTTTGCATCCATCAAATTCAAAAGGCAGTTCTATATGATAAGATCGATCTTCTACCAGATCCTGGGAGGCTTCATCAGTGAGAAACGGGATTAGAAGTAGGGATTGCTTTTATACTCAGCAAGAACAATCAAGATATTCTTCCCTTTTCAGAAAAGAAACAAAAGGAAAATAAAATAGCAGCTTCATCAAATTTCCAATGGTTTATCTTCTTGGGATGGTATGTTGCCATTTTAAAGGATTTAGGTTTTCTCTTCTGGAATTCTCTTCCCCAAAGAGGCATGTTAGCTATATATTCAGCAAGATTATAATATTTAATATGGAAAGTTGAATGTCTGTGTAAATGAAAACAGATGGACAGTTTTGTTTATCTTCTCTTGGCTTTATCATTGTGTCCTAAGCACTTGGGTGGGATTTTAAAGTCCAAGTCTGTGATGGTGACAGGGAGAATTTACTAGTAAATACTTCTTGGACCATATATTTCATGTGACCTCTCCCTGATGTGAAGTCCCAGTTAAATGTGTTGGGTTTTTTGCTTGTTTGTTTTTATCTTTTGCTTAATATTAATTCTTTTTTTTTTTTTTTTGGTGTGGGGGGGTGGGTATTGGAGATTGAACCCGGGGCACTCAACCACTGAGCCACACCCCCAGCCCTATTTTGTATTTTATTTAGAGACAAGGTGTCACTGAGTTGCTTAGTGCCTCGCTGTTGCTGAGGCTGGCTTTGAATTCAAGATCCTCCTGCTTCACCCTCCCTGGGATTTCAGGTGTGTGATGACACCACGCCTGGCCCCATTTACCCTCGCTTTAGGCAAATTTTATTTACTTCCAGCCTGTAATGTATCAAAATTTACTTGAGGGGTAGAATTGCTGATGGAGTTAAGACTACTGACAGTTCATAAAGGAGAGTTCACTACCTTCTAGCTGAGAGAAGAGTGATAGGAAAAGCCACAGAC